CTGTGAATTGCATTTTCGGTGTCGAGGCTGTGCACTTCTGCTTCTTTTCAGGGCAAGGCGCAGAGTTGACGAGCGGATGCTGTCTCTGTTGCTGCCTCACATCGAGCGTTTCGCCGGGGGTGACCCCGCAGCAGCAGAAGCAGCAGAAGCAGCAGCAACAGCGACAACAACAGAGCCGGCGACAACAACAGCCGGTCCACCGTGGCCAGCCGAGTGGCTCGAGCAGATTGACGAGCTGCCGGGCCTCTTCGCATACACCTCCCAAATGGCGGTATTTGCTGCTGCTGCAGTTGCTGCTGTCCCCAGTCCGCTGCTGCCTCAAGAGGTTGCAGATCTCTGGCAGCAGCAGCGCCAACAGCTAGTGCAGGAGCGGCCGGACGAGACATCAGCAGCAGCAGTTGCAACTCCCAAGAAGAGCGCAAGTCACACCGTCTGTACAGCAGAGCTGCAGAGACGCATTGGGAATGTGCTAAAGCAAGTAAATGCTTCCTTATTACTGCAGCAGGACACATGGTGCCGTCTACGACGAGCCTTGCAGCAAGCAGCTCAGCAGCAGCAACAACCGCAGCAGCAGCTTGGGGCGCAGCGTCAGCAAGACCATGCAACGGCCTCACAAGCGACANGCAGCAACAACCGCAGCAGCAGCTTGGGGCGCAGCGTCAGCAAGACCATGCAACGGCCTCACAAGCGACAACAGGTTTATTGCACAATCAGCTTTTTGCAGCAGCTTCGAATGTGCAACAGCAAACAGCTGGACAACTTCATTTGCTGCAGCCGTCGCTGCAGGTGTTGCAGCAGTGCAGCCGCATTGCACTCGCACTCTGCAGCTGGGGTCACTTTGAGTGCCTTTCGCTGCAGCTGCTATTCCAAGTTGCAGCTGCAGCTGTGCATGCTCTACGCCCTCTTGCGCCTATCTGGCTGCAGCAACAGGAGCAGGCGCTGCAACAAGCTGCCGCATCGGAAGACATCCATCCGCCGCTGCTGGTGCTACAACAGCAGCAGCTATCTCGGGCCCGTGCTGCGATTGAAGAAGCAACGGGTGATTTGGGGTTTACTATAGCCCTGTTGCAATGCCTTTGTCCCCAGATTCTCAGAGTAAGCACGCAGCTGCTGGTGAAGTAACGCGTGCGCTGGTGTAGCACAAAGACAACCGCAATCTTCCCTTTTGTTTGTTATATTCTAAGATAAGAGGGTTGCTGGCGGCAGAGGCAGGTGTTAAAGATCAAAAGGAATTCCTAATACTGCATTGCAAGTACTGGATGCGCCGTCTGTTCCGCTCCGACTTATGATGCTCTCACTGCATGGCTTGGCTTGGNATTGCAAGTACTGGATGCGCCGTCTGTTCCGCTCCGACTTATGATGCTCTCACTGCATGGCTTGGCTTGGTGCTGCTGTTGCTGAGGTTGCTGTCGCTGTTGCTGTTGCTGTTGCTGCTGCAGGGCCTTATGCATGCGGGTGACCTGCAACTGCTTCTGAATGACTGCGATGCTCTTTTAGACGCAGCAGCAGCGGCAAGGAGGCACACACCACCCTCGCGCCCAGCGGCTGCTGCTGCAGCACAGCCAACAACGACGTCATCAAGCTCAGAAAAATCAGAAGCAGCTGAAACAGATGCATATTCCCTCGGGATCGATGCAGCAACAGCAGTAACGGCAACATCAGATGCTCATGAGGACTATGGAGCGACAGCAGCAGAGACAGCAGAAGCACCAGGAGTCGGTGAGGAGTTGTCCGATGCAGCAACTGCGAAGCCAAGAGCAAATGGTGGGGGAGACTGGCATTTGCTGGAGACGGAAGTAGCGAGTATCCTCCGCGGGCTTATTCCCAGTGCTGAAGGGCCACCAGTCAAGGTATGAAAAGGAGATAAGTAGCACTGCACATTGCCCTCGTTAACACTGTGGCTGCGCTGCCTTTGAGAAGGGCAGAAAGGCGCCTGCGGTCGATTGAAAGACTGTACTGCCGAGTCATCATCCCTAATCAAGCAAATATACCAAAACCGGTCGTACATAATATACATGTCACGATTTCGTCGTAGAGGTGCACAGGCGCACGTCACTGATAACCCTATCCATGTTGCAACTCGGCTAGCTGAGTTCATGAGGTGAGCTACAGCTTAACTTTTTCTGGGGCTTTTGCTGCAGGCAGCGCACATGAGGCACTGCGGTGTGGCTTGCACCCATACCCAGCAGCAGGACCTGGAGCAGTCGCCGGTGAAGCAGCTGCTGCATCCGTTGCAGCTGCAACGGCAGGGCAAGCCGTTGCTATTGGCGTTTATATTCCCAGCGGATACTTGGGGCCGCAGGCAGGGGATTTTGTTACCGAAGAAGCTGTTGCAGTTTTTCCTTCTGCGGAGGCTTGGCTGGGAGGTGAGCCGGTGATTCCTCTTCTGCTGCACAGATACATGCCTAGGGAAAGATGTCGCTATAGCATTGAGGAGGGGCGGCGTGGAAGAGCTGAAGCTGAGCTGAGTGTTGTTCCCAGGTCCGGCTTGTTAACCTCTCGGATTGCCGCAACAAAGGCGCCTTGGAGATACAGCAGCTCCTTGTGTCTGAGCTGAATGCTGGCCAAACGCAGACTGCCCTCTGGAGCCTCCACAAGCCGCAACAGGGAGACGGAGCTTCTCCAGCCGAGGAGCTGTCAGAGGCGTAGGACTGGCTCACTTGACAGATGCTCTTATGTAATACTGCATCTGCCGGCGTCATTTGCAGCGCATGAAGTGTCTTCCGTCATCAGGATAAAAAGGAGTGTGTCTTGCAGAGCCTTGTGAAGCTTTCAGCGGTTGGTTTTCACCCCCGTACATCAGTGAGAGGCCAGAGATGCCTTTGCTGTTCTGGCTTATTTGGGGCCTTGTAGCAGCTCTGAACCTCTCCAAATCAGGCGTTCGCTTCCTTCAGCTCCCCACCTAGTCTCTCTCTTTGACAGCTCAGAGACAGGGAGAGTTGACAGGTGCAATGCGGCTGCATGCAAGCTCAGCCAGCCTGCATCAGAAGCGCACGCATTGGCAGCGCATACAGATATTTCGCTGCTTTAGGTTTAGGATGTCAGCCCCAGAATGGGGAGTTGACGCTTCAGGTTTGTGTTGTTTGGGGCAAGTTCGCTTTTCTGCGGTCTGTCTCAGGGGTGGTGGACTAGAACTGCGCATACTGGCAATTTGTATCTTAAGATGAAATCTTCTTGTACTTCCACTTCTTAGCAAGCGCTCAGAAGCAAACCGCACCTGAAACGTTTCATGCGTCGCTTGCTGTACCTTGCGACTATCTAGAGCAGACACTTCCCTAAACTGGAGCTATTATATATACGCAGTTGTCCCTACATCAAGCCATCATGAGGGAATCGCCTTGCCTAGCAGTCGCAGCACTTCAGCGCCAACTACTGAAACTCATACCCCCCGTTTCATATATACTACTGGGTGATCGTGTACGAATGTTTCAGCGCCTGGGGTTGCATAACTTGGCATGCACGGCAAAGAAGGTTCGGCGTACCGAACTGTCAGGCTTCGACGGAAAGCATCGTCTTGCAAAACGACGATGCTCTAGGCCCAAACGTGGAGGCCCTGCAAGGCCACGCGAGCAGTTACTTCGTCATCCGGTTCAGGCGGGTAGTATGTGTTGGTGCGCGATGCTTGAGGTAGTGGAAGGCAGACTTGCCTCGTAACAAACAGGGTACACCTACGAAGTAGATGCGGCATGCTGTATGGTGACTTCGGTGCAAAATTGACCAAAAGCAGCATCCAGTGCACTGCCCAGCCCTTTGATATTGCCTTCAACCAGTCAGGACGAGATCCCCCTCCAAAGATAAATGCAACAAAGCAACGACTCCTTGCGAGTACGGAGACTCTGGAGCTAATCGAGCGGTCGTGCGATAGGTGAGCATGCAACAAAGCAACGGCTCACTAGGGCCACTGNAATCAGGTTTCAACGGATGGCACCATCGGCGCTACTACGGAGTGGTGTCGTTCAGAAGTGAATCCCCTTTGCAGAGGTCGAGCTGTGGAGAGCTGTAGCTCTGCATTATGAGCCCCCTGCAGTAAAGACACCACCGGTTATCATCTCGGCGGTGGTCTGCGTTCCGGGGCGGACCAGTCAGCAATTTGTTGCTGATGCATCAAATTTCCGCTTTCCCATCCCATTATTTGGACTCAGAATAAAGCTTATTTCTAATTCTGCAGGACGTGTGTTTGCGGTGAGGTGGGCACCAGGCGATTGCCCAGATGAACTAAAACCCCACTGGCTTTCCGTTTTTAACTGTGGCGTATTTCGCACATTGCGGACCATCACTTATTTCCCTGAACCTTCTCATTTTATGTAGTGAGAATGAGAATTCTTGTTTGTTGCTTTTCTTTGTCCATTTCGCCTTATTTTGCAGAGGATGCTCAGGCGGGCCGTCGCCCGTGCTGAGCCCCAGTGACCTCATGCTGCACACAGGTGGAGGCTCTGCTCCCTGCTGTGCGTGAACTCCACCTCCTTCCATATACGTAGAACTACTTTATTTTTGTTTTGGAGATGTTTCCATTCCATTCGTTTGGCCTCTGAAGTGTTGAACCGCCTCCGCCGCCTTCCTGTGGATACAGCACAGGACAGCAGCCGAAAATGTTCATCCTTTCTTTAATATTGTTCATTCTTTTCATCCCAATTCTGTGTATTCTTCTGGTTGTGCAGCTGCTGTGCTTGCTTTTGCGTTGCATATGCTGCTGCTGCCCCTGCAAGGACCTCTGCCACTCCCCCAGTGTAATTCAGGCGTCCAAGCTGCCAGCCAGAATAGGTGGGGGTTGGGGTTGTTGTACAATGGAGTACGGAGATGATCCAGTTTGATTAACGGAAGGCTTCTGTTGGGGCAGCCTCAATCTTGAAGCCTTCACTCCTTGCGGGCGACGGTACCGTGTGGCTCCAAAGGTATACTGTTTGACCCATTTCCTGGAGAAACTGCTTGTACCACTGCTGGTCGCTTTTGCTGAAAGAGGGACTTANACTGTTTGACCCATTTCCTGGAGAAACTGCTTGTACCACTGCTGGTCGCTTTTGCTGAAAGAGGGACTTAGGAGAGGTGAATGCGTCGTTGGCGATTTAAAGATGTCCTCGCCCAGCTTGGTGACGTGCGCTTCTCGGGCTTCAGGTGAACTCAACGTCTTCTCATGTTCATTTTTTCTTCCGGGTGCCGGGATGGTGCTTTGCTCCAACAGCCACTCTGCTATTTTGCCCTTGGCGGCTCCTGGAGGTCTCGCTTGCTACGCATTCGGCTTGTAGTTCCTGTACGCACGGAATCTTCATTCCGTTCTTTGTCATCATAAACGACCTTGCACTAATACCTGCCATTTCCAGTGCAATCGAGTAGTTGACTACGAGGTCCTCCATTTTGCATAAACGCTGCGCCTAAGTTGTTCCTACATGACGGGCGGTTGAGTTGCTGCCGGGAGTTTTCAGTTGCCATCTTAAGTTGGGCCGAATATAGCATGAATTGGTCGTGATACAAGCCCTGCCAAGCCGTCTCAGCAGTTGTTCAAACCTATCTTCCCAGCCTTCCGCATTCGCTTTTGCGCATCACGTGTGTACGACATAATGCAGGCGTTTGCCTTTGCGAAGGGCTTGTCCTTCAGGAGGACTCTACGTAGGTGATACAGCGAAGCATGTGTATCATCCGCTGCACTTGAACTGTTCTCAACGCCACCGCACTCGTTGCAACATGCTTGCATAGCTGCCCTCTTCGCCAGTGTTTGCATGNACTGTTCTCAACGCCACCGCACTCGTTGCAACATGCTTGCATAGCTGCCCTCTTCGCCAGTGTTTGCATGTCACATTTCGTTGGTTTAGGGTGACTATATGCGGGTAGTAAGTAGGAGTTACTCGAAAAGTGGAAAACTCAGAAGGGGATGGCGGCTAGAGCTTCACCGTGCACCTTGCCAGCAGTGGTGTACCGTGGCTTCCTCCTTGTCGTCATTAAAGCTCTCCAGACTGGCTACGCCTAATTTTGTCACTTTGCTTGCTGTGTCGATCAATAAGCAATAAACTCGAGATGCGCAGGATGAGTTCTGCGCTCTGGTTTCCAAAACAGTATCCGGTCAACTGCGGCGTTGCCTCTGTAAAAACTAAACGCGTGATTTTTTTCCCTACCGATAGGGAACGCTGCATGCAAGCACGGATAGTTCGACTAGTCAGCTGAGATCGATGCCTCAAGGCAATGTCAAAGCTGAGTTAACCCGTCTAGAGCACAGCCCGGGAAAGGAAGACCACAATAATAAACACCACCGCTAGGGAGCATGCGTACAGCAACGGGCGTCCAGCCCGTTTCCGCCGAACTTCGCACAACTTCTCAGCTTAGTGCAATGGAGCGAATATCATTCTGTCGTCTGCGTTCACTCTGTACCCCTCAAATTCATCCGAACCACACCGTGTAGTGTGGGGCATGGAGCTACGCCGACGTGTCAAACGACATGGCGGGGAGTCTCGTCATCCAAACGTTTGCCTTGCTAAGGTAGAACTTGCAGGATAAAGTGCTTATAAGACTCCACGAGGTTCATTTAACAGTCAGCTGGATACGGCAACAGAAAGCACGGGGACTGTGCACGCACCCAAGAATACTGGGTTCTAGCCGACCGGCGCAACGGCTGCGTTGCGCTAGTCAGTATTCACTAGCATTTCCTGGAAATAAAAAGTGGCAAATGTTTACTGTAATGCTTCGATATTATTCACTAGGGGCCAAGATATTGTGGTTAAGGCGAATGTAGTGATGAACTACCGGCTCGGGGCTTTCGCGAGCTCTAGTTCCTGGGGGGCGCATGCATTAATCAGAATGCAAATTTCCGTAAATGTTGCCTTTTTATCTTCTCCCTGCACAATTTGTGCCATTAGGTTGCTATATACAGGATTTAGAAGAATTTGGTTGTTGGTGGTAGGCTTCTGGGGCGTGCTACTGTCTTCTCTTTCTTGTTGGCTTCTGCTCGTTTGCCTGTCGCTGGCCATCGCCTGCACAGTAGGCGGTTTTGTTTGGTTTCGCCAGTAGTGGATTACTACTGCAAGTCTCTTGAAGCCCCACCGAGCTCCATTCCGCTTTTTGTCGCCCAGGGTGGCTTCCGTATTTCCCGGTTGTTTCTTTCCTTGGCATTTGTCCTTACCAGGCCCAGTGGTCCATCAACAGTGACCACTGGTCCCAGTTTTTGGTGATTTGTAGGGCCGGTTGATCCCCTTTCTCGTAACAAGCTGAACTTTTGCCACTACGTTACCGCGCATTGTTAGGGGCTAGGGGCCACCGGCGGCGTTAGCCCGCCTGCAGCACCTGAATTGCAGGACCTGCCTGCACCTGCGTTTGGTGAATAGCTGAAAGGCAAGAGGGGAAGATGGAGTCGCTAGTGGATCGGCTACCCTTGGGGGTTCGGTTGTTTACTGCGGCATCTGCCTTTATCGTGATGGTTGGAAGCATTGCATCTGTTGCAGCTCCAGCCGACTACACGAGTTGCATAGTATGCCTGTACCTCATTTGCCTTTCGGCTGTCTGTCTGCTGTGCGAATTCTCGCCGTACGGGCTCAATCTGCTCATGGGCGTCTGCCCGCTTTTGGGGGAGTATTTCTTCAGAGGCGTCCTCTACATCTTGTAAGCAGCCCCTTCCACCCCCTAAAGGAAAAATAACCTTGTGCGTGCTTGCAGCTGAGAAGACGGCACAGCAGACCCATTTGTTGTTACTGGGGGAACTATAGTGGCTTCCTAGTGTCTCGAATACTTGTGCTCCTCGTGTTGGCTGCATGTCAGATTATTGCCTAGTCAAGCAAGCACTGTTATTTCGATCTGTGGTTCTCTTCAGGGTGGGGTTGCTGCCCCTGGGCATCGATACGATAGGACTGTGGGGGGGCATTTTGATGATAATTTCGGGGGTCCTCAACGTCCTCATCCATGCACTGCTGCCAGTCCACCCGTACAACTTCTACAGCCGACGCACTTCTGACCCGGAGGATGAGGAGGAGGGGGCTTTTAACGAGTAAGACCTGCACAACAGCCATCGTTAGCCTGCTCACTTCTTTCCATTCACCACAGTGGGGATATCCCAGACCAGTTTAGGGGCTGACGTACCTTCTTAGCTTCTCACGGCCACAGTGATATCTCAGATAAAGCAGCAAACAGCTAGCTTTTAACACGATCATGTTACGCAATCAAACTGAATAGCGCAGTTGGCGGAGATGCTATGCTCACCAAGAGGGGCTGTTGCATTACAGCTTCCTGCCCTAGGGCGGCAAGGGCCACTATCGGGCAGTATTGGCAGCTCAAGCTCACCGCAGCCCGTCCTTTCCAATGGGTTTGCCTCCACAGATATCCAGATTCCCCGGTGCATTGACTTATACTGTGCCTGCAGCGAGCCGGAGGCCGAGGAAGCTGGGGCTTTACGGTAGATGTTGTCGCAGGGTTGAGTGCAAAGGTGAGTTGTGGACTGATTCGCTTGTGCTTTCATATAGAGCTTCGGGGACCAGTGGCCCCCGTTTTTGCTTGTTCTCATTCTTTCTATAACAACAGAACAAACCTTTGAGCGTGCCGCAGGGACAAGCGCGGCTCAGGGCCCCGGCTTATCGCTCTTCAAGTCCGCGGCAGCAAAGCTGGACGAGCTCCGGAGGGAAGATTCTGCGGTGCTGTCTCTCCAGCGCATCTTCCTTGCATGGATATTCACGACTCAATTGCAGTTCCATGGGCCGGTTTTGGGAGGCCGTTTGGCCACAACTGCCATTCTTTGGCGTGCGCTCCTGCAACTTTGTCTATCGTAGACGCAACACCTTAACATGCACCCAAATTAAAGCCGAGTAAAGACGAGACCAATTTCGTTGATATGAGATGTTGGAGGCAGGAAGGCGGCTCGAACTTGTCGTTTGTTATAGAGGGAAATGAAAAGCTACAGGATGATAGCGTTGGCGCCGATACTTTGGGAGTTACCTATATGGCAGGCTTTATACGAGAGCAAGTCATGTTTTTTGCCTTGAGTTGTTTCTCTATGTATCTATTTTTGCTCTGTATATTATATATGTATTTATTTCTGGCATGTTGGTTAGTGCACGAACACAGAGCCCAGCAGCTAGCGGAGGTCTTTAGGGCGCTTGGCACTGACGCCCGCAAATGCGCTCAGATCCAAAGGGAGGCACGATCACTTTGGGACGATTGTAACAACTTAAGGCGAAGGCGAGTGCTCTGGTCGCCCAAGAGTTGCGTAGTCTGAATGGTAAATGAAGATGCGTGCGCATATGCTGTATGCATATACCTGCGCACGTATCCGTATGGCTGGACTCTTTTTTTGGCTGAGAACACGCGATGAAACTGTTCACGCCATTTGCCAGCCCCTACCAGAGGATTTCCTCTTCGAGCCCCTGCTGCGGTTCAGAAGCTCCCTCAGACCTCTCCGTGACACCGGTGCCTGCTAGGCTGGGACGAAGCAAGCATATTGTTTCCTGCACCAACGCAATTTGTGTGGCTATGCGCTTCATGTTGCGCCTGAGCATACCCAGCACATTTTGCAGAGAAGGGGGGCGTGGAGAGACTGAATCTGGTGTTTTTGTTCGAGGCCTCAGAAGCTATGGTCTACGGACAAAAATGAAGTTGACCTGAAAAGGGGACGGTGCGAAAAACTTTACCACTGTATAGTATTGTTTGCTCAAGTTGTACGACTAGGTTCAGCTGAAAGCGTTCCCCATGTCCATCTGCACGATAACTCACTAGCTGACCTCAACTGTCGAGCCAGACACTGAGTGCTGTAGAACTGTCGGATAATTAGGATCGACTTTCGTCCTTGCTCAAGTAGTAACTCTTGCAATCAAGAATATTTTAAAAGAGTTGTTTGAATTGGGCGGTAGATTTTAAAATTTATTGTACCATCCACTGTAGCACGTGTAAAGCCCACAGCATAAGAATGTGGACTTTAGTGAGCTACTAGGCACTCCTTAAAGGATAACTGCTCTCAGGCTGAGATATTGTCGCAAGATGCAAGCGACCAAAGGACGTCCTGCAAATGGCCCACGGCCAAATCAGGTGTCTATATTGTGTTGGCTCTGGATATCCACAGCCTCGAAATATTTTTCAGTATGCTTAGTAAGAACTGACGGCACGCCACAGCCTGCAGCAAACTCGAGCCACTAATTAAGGCACCTCTATGCTGGGAAGGCTTAGCATGGTGGCACCTTCCCGTTGGGAGCACCTTCAGTCCTCTATAATAGTTGCAGCCTCTGCTTTCATATCCCCGCCCCTTTGCCCTCTCAGTCACATGAAACAACATGAAACAAACAATGAGTTGCGGCGTAGCCGTCAGCTTAGGAGGGCTCTGCAGTGACATGTTGTTACAACCTCGTGCAGCAGAGAAACACTTAGTTCAAGCGAAATTGCCAATGAACTCTGGCCTGTGGGTCCTGAATGGACCTCGTTCTTCTGGTTTTCGGACACCTGTTCAGACAACCAGTGAGAACGGAGGCAAATCTCGAGCGCATGCACACAACAAAGATAATTGTAACATTTGCAGGAGGAGAGAAACGAAGAATATCTGAAACAGCATTTCGATCTAGTTTGTAGTAGCCTCAGCAGGTCACTTCCTGCTTGGGCGTGGCTGCCGTGCAGCGGAAGTGTGTGTGCGTGCACAATTCAGCGTAGATGCTTTGAAAAGTGTTAAAAAGAATATTTCATCTGTCCAACTCTATCCGATGTTCAACTGGGTGAGGAGAAGTGCCGCTTGCGCAGTCGCGATGCCTTAACGTGCGCATGCTCGCTGATGACCATTCCCCTGGGCGAGGCTTCCGAGCGTTTACCTGCAGAACGCATGCTGCTTATTCTCATCATTATACCTCATATATACTTTTAGTTGAGTTTCTTTATCCTGTATCTACTTCTTATTCGAGATATGGGGATTTTTCCCGGGCGGGAGCTCCTTGGAGGACTCGCCCTGGTTGTCTTTATGGACAGGCTTGTGTGTTCAGCATCGTTAGAGAACGACGAAACGGCAGCTTTAGAGGAACTTGAAAAAACTTTGTCTCCACTTGGCTTGCGGGAAGGTCGTCCCGATGCACATGTAGTTGAGGATGCTTCCTTAAGCCTGGAAGATGCCTTGGATGGGTGGGAGGTTTCGCCCGAGTTGCTTCAGGAACTAATTACACCTACCGACGAGAAGGTCAATTTGCTCATAGATTCATCAATTGTCTCGTGGATGGACTCTGATGCAGAAAAGATACCGGAGGAAGTACGGAAGGAGATGGTGAAAGACTTGGAGCGGGCTCGTGCGTTGGGCCTTCGCCAGGTTCGTCTCTTCAACTACATGGTTGAACTCAAGGGTCTAATAGACACATCAGAAGGAGAAGATGGCGTCTACCTGAGAGACCTTATGAAATGGTGCAAACAGATGTTCCTCAATGTCCACGCAGCTGAAGTAAAACTATTCCTCAAGCAAGAGGAGGTAAGGAGGCAATTCTTCAACCCAGGGGAGAGCAATCCTCTCTCCTTGGACTCTCGAACCGTCTATCTTATCCTAAAGCATCGTGCTGACGCGATTGTCGGACGATTCGAGGCCTACATGCCCGAATCAAAGACAGGCCCCGAAGCAGTAAATGAGGGGAAAAGTGCAGATGTCACGAACAAAGGGTGAAGAAGCATTTGTCTTTCAAACGTGAAAAATTGCCCTTTTTGTGCAGGGCTGCTTAGATCTCCCCAGACAAGGCACTTCGTGCTGTCGTGTCCCAGACGTTTTGACCGCAACCTCCCGGCGAAAGCGCCGTTTCCAGCCCTTTTTGTCTTTTGACCAACGGGCGTCTGGACACTACGAATTTGCTTTGCCTATAACTGGTTAATATTAACGGATTTGTGAAGTGAACACAAATAGTCACTTCAAGTGCTACCGCCTATGGGGGAACATATGCTCATAACACCAACGAAGCCATAGCGCCGGAAAGTTGGAC